GAAGGAAGGAAGGAAGGAAGGAAGGAAGAAAGAAAGAAAGAAAGAAAGAAAGAAAGAAAGAAAGAAAGAAAGAAAGAAAGAAAGAAAGAGAAAGAAAGGAAGGAAGGAAGGAAGGAAGGAAGGAAGGAAGGAAGGAAGGAAGGAAGGAAGGAAGGAAGAAGAAAGAAGAGCATTGCCAATTCAATTTTTTTTTTTTTTAAATAAAAGGAACTGAGGCTGGCTGCAAATGTTCAGCTTTCTGTCTGAGACCACAGGGCCCCGTAGGACATAATATTTTGATCTTTATCCAAATATCAGCAAGCAGCCATTGAAGTCATTTTTTTTAAGATTTTATTTATTTATTTGAGAGAGAGAATGAGATAGAATGAGCATGAGAGGGGGGGAGGGTCAGAGGGAGAAGCAGACTCCCCGCCGAGCAGGGAGCCCGACGCAGGACTCGATCCCGGGACGCCAGGATCATGACCTGAGCCGAAGGCTGTCGCTTGACAAACTGAGCCACCCAGGTGCCCCCATTGAAGTCATTTTAATCAGGGGGCTGATTGTATCACATTTGGGTCTTCAAACAATCCCCTTGTCACTAAGGAGAATGGCTAGATGCAGGTCCAAATGGGCAGACTAGTTACAAGGCTTTTGCATTCATCCAGGTGAAGAGTGGAGATAGCTGGTTCTAGGGAAGAACAATGGCATCAGCTGAGGAGATGGGTGCCTGGACAGATGAGGTCATTCTGGAGTAAGGCGGGCCCCAAGCCAATACAACCGGGGTCCTTCAAAGAGGGGAGATTTGCACACAGACATGCACACAGGGAGAATGCCCTGAGAAGATAAAAGACGGAGGTTGAGATGATGCTTTTCCAAGCCCAAGAACACAAAGGATGGCCAGCAAACCACCAGTGTAGGGGAGAGGCAGGGGACAGATTCTTCCTCGTGGCACTTGGAAGGAATCAGTCCTGCGGACAGCTTGATCTCAGGTTTCTAGTCTCCAGAACTGTGAGACAATACATTTCTGTTGTTCACACCACCCAGCTTATGGTCCTTTCTTACAGCAGCCCTGGCAAATTCATAAACTGAGATTCCCAAACTCACTCCAACCTTCAGTAGGTTGACAGGAGGAATGGGAGGCGCAGGGTGAACTGCCGTTCCTAGTAGCCTCATGTCCCCTCTGAGCCGGGTGTCAGAGCAATGACTGGAGTGGGGGAGACCCCAGTAGCCCAGGGGACCAGGGCTAATCCTGAAGCTAATCCTTGAGGTGACCACTGCATTTAGTGTTAGACCTGCCACCTAGGAATATTGCAGGAACCACTGCAAAGGAAACCACTCATCCAGACATAGTTCAAAGGCCCACCCTTACTATCCATTTCTCATGTCTTTCAAGAATTGCAAATATTTAAACTCTTTCCATTGGCTGCCCATTCAAATATCTCATTCAAGGCTCCCTGGTTATTGCATCATTGTAGACCCAATTAAACTCATTTCATTTGAAGATTCTTATGTGTCTCTCTAATACACAGATCATTTCCCTCATTTAAAGCAAGTTGTTTATAGCTAGTAGGCCTACCCCCCACCTGAGCTATCCCCCTCCAGGGAAGCCTTACAAAGTTCCTAGTTAGGAACAGAAGGCCCTGAGGGGATTGCCCAATGTTGTCTCAGGACACAACCTTACAACCATAAAAACAAGTCAACACCGAGGCCTACTGGCAGAGAATCAGTTACAGGATATGCACGAACAAGGGTCAGCAGAGGTTGCCTGGGCCAAACCCCAGGCTATGTGGAAAGCCCTTACCTGGTTAAGTCTTCCACAAATGGTAACCCATAGCAATAATCATCTTTCAACAGATGTACTGATCTATCTGTGAATTAGATTTCATCTGGAGAAGATGACCTCCAAGGGAAAATGCCATACAAAGTTCAGTTAACAGAATGTTCTTCTTGAACTTGGCCCACAAGGCCCCTAATGATCAACCTTGGCCTTTCTCTGCCTTCATGTCCCCCATTTCTACCTCACACTGAGACCTTATTTCCTGGGCATAGAGTGACCATATAGTTTATCATCCAATATGAGATGCTTTTGAGATGGACAACATACTCAGTTTTCTGGGACAAGAGGTGTAAACTGGGCTGTTTTACCCAATCTGGGATTTCTAGTCTCCTTAGCCATGTGGAACAACTTAGAGTTCCTATGACATTCCATGGGCTTTTGAATCCCCAGACTTTTGCACATGCTCTCCTCTTCTGATCTACTTGGAACACATTCTATAACCCACTCTTCTGTGGGGCCTTCCCCAAGACTCCTAGGTGGGCTTGGGCTCTCCTCCCCCTGTGTCTTCACTGTCCCCAGCACATACCACATTCTGTCTTCATTTCCCTGGCTCCCCACAAGACCTGTAACCTCTTGAGGACCAGGTATTGTATCTTTTCATCTTTGTGTTCTCTACTCTATTCCATTTTGTAGGTACTCAACATGTGTCTAATCAATGATTTTATAATTAGCCTGGAGAAGAGATAGGTGTCCATTAACTTCAACTGTCTAAAGAGTTGTGATCGCAAAGAGGACCTAGACTTGACTTATGAGACCATAAGGGAAGAACAAGAATACTAACTGGAAGCCTCAAGAAGATATATTTCAGCTCAATATTAAGAAGAACTTTCTAGCCAACAGGACTACACAAAATCAATAGGCAGCTTTGAACAGTAGAGAGCTCCTTGCCACTAGGGATGTTTTGTTGACAAATACTGGCTTATACTTGGTAGGAATTTTGAGGTAAGGATTCAGGCATGTAGTGGGTGAATGGCCTGGATGACTACCTTATACTCTATGATTCATCCATTCATTCATTCAGTGATTATTTACTGGGCACCAGGCATTGCCCCAGAAGCTCATGAATTAGCACAGAACAGACACACCCATGTAACCACCATGCAGAGCAAGAGCGTCTGCTGGCTGACGCACGAGGCAGATTTGGCCTCCCAGCCTGTTGGAGCTTACAGGTTTGCAGAAGAGATACACGCAATCATATGAATTTATGGGGTGTCCAAAGATAGTGTGAGGGGAGTCTGAGAGGTGTTTAACTTGAGCAAGGGTGAATGTAGGAAGCTTGTGTGGTTCCATGACCTTTAGATCTTTCTAGAGAGCTCAGGCTTCTTCTCTCTTCCGTGAGGCCTGCTCTTCCAGTTGGGTGACCTTTCTGAAGGCTGGCTTAGACCAGTCTCTACCTGTCAGTTCCAGAGCTGTGAGTTCTGCTCAGCTGAGGGGTAACCAGGTCACTCTGATCATCCCAGGGGAGCCACGTGTGGTCTTTAGTCATGCCCTTTCTTTCCTTCCCTCTTCTCTAAAAGACCACCAGAAGGCTAGTCACACGGACTTTGGGACAGTAGAGGCATGGCAATGCCATGGCGGGTGAACCCCCAGAGCCTGGCCACTCTCCACTTTCAGAGCAGCCATCAAAGTATCCAGTGGTACTGGCCACAATCCAGAACTCCGTGTCCAAAGAAGAAAAGACATAGCAGGTGAGCCAAGAGGCGTGTGATCACAGGACCTCCTCCTGCCCTGATGGGGGACAGCACTAGGATAACACAGCAGCTATTCATGAAATGTTTGCATGATTTGGGTAAACGATAGTAATAATAAAGAAAAATACCATGCCTCAAGCCTTTGCTATGGGCCAGGCACTGTGCTGGGTGATTATATATGTATTATCTTACTGAAGCATCAAACAGGCCCATAGGGGCAGAATTATTATCCTTACTTCACAGAAGAGGAAACTCTAGAAGAGGCCTAGAAATTGTCAAAACTTATCTGAGATCACATAGCTAGGGAATGGCAGGCCCAAGGGTCTCCAAAGCCTGTGCTTCTGGCCTCTGTTCTCTTGACTTTACGTGGGGATAAATGAAAGCCCAACAAAGCAGAATGGGTCAAAATGAGCCCTCCTGTGTGAATTCCAAAAGTAGGTGAGCAAGCCCTCAGCAGAGTAGCAGTTGAGCAGGAGAGGGATCTAAAACTGTGTTCATAGCGTACGCAGAGTCAAAGAAAAATAATGAACCAGAAAAAAATGTTTTCTTACTCATGTTACAAAGGGATAACGTCTCTAATATATAAATGCATATATTCATGTAAGAAGGACTAACGAACAGAAGAAGTGGATAAAAGATATGAACAGAAATAGCAAGAAATATACTCAACTAGCTCTTAAGCATAGGAAAAGATGCTCAATCTGACTGACTGAAGAAATGCAAATTAAAGCCAAATTAAGGCAGCACTGATCTCCTACAAACTGAAGAACATGCTGGACGCAGCTATGATGGACTTAAATGTAGAACACATTTGAAAAGAAGGAAGCAGAAAGTCAATGACTTAAGTATCCCTATCAAAAAATTATAATGGGGCTCAGTCATTAAGCGTCTGCCTTCAGCTTAGGTCATGGTCCCGGGATCCTGGGATTGAGCCCCACATCGGGCTCCCTGCTCCGCGGGAAGCCTGCTTCTCCCTCTCCCACTCCCCCTGCTTGTGTTCCCTCTCTCGCTGTGTCTCTCTCTGTCAAATAAATAAATAAAATCTTTTTTCAAAAAAAGTCTTTAAAAGAAATTATAAAAAGAACATGAACTAGACCCAAAGAGAGTGGAAGAAATTAGGTAGAGAAGACCAAAAGCCTAAACATTTGTTCTTTGAGAAAAAAACTGATAAAAATAAATAACCCTTGGCGGGATTGAGAGAGGAAGAGAGAGAGAGAGAGAGAGAGAGAGAACAAATCCAGTCCAATATCTGGAAGGAAACAACAGATCACTATAGTTCCTGGAGACAATACAAAGATACAACCTATGCTATAAACTTGAAAATGTCAATGTTCTGGAGAAATTCCTCAAAAAACACAATGATGCCAATACCAAAATGACAATGATGTTAGAATTATCTGAGGAAGATTTTATAGCAGCCATGATAAAAAAAAAAGTTCCAATGAGCAATTAGAAACACATTTGAAATAAGTGAGGGAAAAAAATAGAAAGTTTTAGCAAAGAAATAGAAGCTATAAAGAACAAAATGGAAATTTTAGAAATTTTAGAAATAATTGCAACACCTGTAACTCAGGATTTAAGATAACATGTCTAAAAGGATGAGCACAGGGCCTGGCACATAGCCAATGCTCCATGACATTTTATGTTCCTCCTCTCGTAACTGAGGCATCGGAGCAGGAGGACCAAACTTCAAAGCAGTTCCAGGCAGACAGACCCTCCTGCCTTGGACAGTCCATAAAGAAGATGTCAGAAGGGTTTGCTTAGCAATTATGTTATCAACCTTACAAACCAGTGTTGAAGGCATTCCTTAAGGGGCTCCCTTCACCCCCACCACTGCAATCTGCATGCAGACCCCGTGTTGGGTTCTGAAGAACATAATGGAAGAATAAGAGGTACAGCCGGAAGGGAAAGATGGGCTTTAGCTTCAGCCGCATCAGCTCCCAGGTGGGAAACCCCCCAAGTTGTGCTGGAAGCAACAGGGAGGGACTGGGCAGGAAGGAAGAAAGCTTTCTCTTCTTTCAAACAGAGTATTGTTTATCATAAGAGTAGCCAGAATTCCCAGAAGCATGGAAGAAGGATGGGTCGCCTCATTCCCGCAGAGACAGGCCCAGGAAAAGCTACACTTAGGTGGAGACCATTCTGACCTGTACGGATGGAGAAGCATTTGGGGCAAGGCCAAGATCAGGCACTACCCCACAATGGGTCACCACCGTCGTTTGAATCCCCACCCTCAGCTGGGATGGGCAGAACTTTTGAAGGAGTTGGGTTTGCCTCTAGCTTTCCTTCTTTTTCTTCCTTCCTAGCAGAACACACAGCATCAAGCACTCTCCCTTAGTTTACAGAACCAGTTTGCACCGCTCACGGTGCCTGATCTCATCACACCCCGTGGACTAAGGGATATCCTCACTTCGTTTTACGGGTATCCGAGTTGAGCCTTAGAGCAATCAAGTGAATCACCCAAGGGAGTTCTCAGACTAAGGACTCATCCCACCTATAAACCGACATATAATATAAAATCCTACCTCCATCAAGACACCAATATTAATGAGCATTACCGTTACCATTTTTGAGCATCTCGTGTGTACCAGGCAAAGGACTAGGTACCTGGCTTCCCTGAGCTCATTTGTCCTTCAGAAGGACACCAGGGGTAGAGGAGGCTGCCCTGTCGTACAGGCTCAGAGAAGACAATAATGGTAGGCGATCACACTTAGTGCCTGGCACTGTTCTAAACACTTCAACATGCATTAAGTCGCTCCGTCTTCCCAACAATCCCATGAGAATAAGTGTAAGTAACATGTCCATTTCCGAGATACGATAACTGAAGGTCAGAGGCATCAGGTAATCTGTCTGAGGCCACACGGCCCGGAAGTAGCAGAACTGGTGTTCAAACCGAGCCCTCTTACCACTGTTTCGTGTTTCTGGCAGCAAAGGTGACTTACCCCAGGTGGCACATCTAGGAAGTGTCCGAATCAGATGGAGACCCCTGCCCACCTGAAAACCAGGGTCTTCCCACCCAGCTATCCTGCCCAGAGTAGGGCTGGAGGGAGGCTCTGGGTCACTTGGGCAGCCTCCTTTCTCTCCAGCTAAGAGACAGCTGTCCGCAAATCAAGCCCCAGGAACGGGATTTGTGGAGGCAGAGCCCTCTATGGTGGCACCAGGCCCAGTCGGGCTGACAAAGCTGGGACCCAGCTCCATCAGCCTTCCTTGCCTGCCAGTTTTTCTCTCTCTGCCTGCCGCTTGCTGGCCGAAAACTGTCCCCAGACTCCCATTGTCTCCCTTGGCCCCCACTGAAAATGCTGAGTGCCAGGTGGAGAAGGGCCTTGGAGGGAACCTGGAGGGGTCAGAGGAGCTGGGCGGAGTGGGGAGGAGAGGGGCGCTGGGGAGTGGTTCTGGAGTTGTGGGGAAGGGGTCGCCTAGCAACCACCAGCTCATGTGGTCACAAAGCCGGCAAGGCTTGCCCACAGAACCAGCGAGCCTGCCTGCCTATCGCTGTGTCCTCTTGCTCCTTTCTGCTCAGGCAGCAGGGACTTCTCATACACAGACTGTAGCGGGTACTTGCCTCGGTGAGTCCATGGATCTCTCCCGGGGAGGAAATGGACACTAGAGCCAGACAGGGGGCCGGGGGAGGGCCTCCGGAGGCCGAGATGGGGAAAGCGAAGTTCTGTCTCAGGACTGGTGTGAGCGTCCAGACCCCTTGTGTCCCGCTGCGTGGGGGCCAGGCAGAGAGGGGAGTGAGGATGGAGGCAGACACAGTGGGGCCCACCTGTCCTGCTCTGGAAAAGACCGGCCTGGCTCAGTCCCCGTTGACCTCTACCGCAGCTGTGGGTTGTGGCCCATTCGTGGCTTATAAAATCAATTGGATGGGTCACATCTCACATTTGCAAAATGAAAACGAAAAGTAGGATGAAAATAGCACTGTGCATCATTTGTGGCAAGGGTAAGGATTGCTGTAGGATGTTCTTCCTTCCATTTCACATACACAGAGGTGCGTGCACACCCGTGTGTGAATCATGACCTATGAAGGAGTTTCTTAGTATGATCACAGTCAAAAGCATTTGAACGTCTTTGTTCTAACAAGTACTTTTTCCTGTAGGCAGATGGGTTGGGGCTTCCGAATGGCCTGTCCTCAAGCCTGCAGCAGCATGTGAGCGCTCCAGACCCAGCCCCTGTCACCAAGGATGTCCAAAGCTTCCTTCAAAGGAAGTTCCGCCAACTGTTTTTCTCTTTAGAGAAGAGATCATGAGACTTGGAGTCAGGATGCCTGGAGTCCTGGCTGTGTGGCCTCAAGTCTCCCCTTCCCCAATCTCAAACAGTGCTTGAGGGGCTGGCCCTGTGGGTCTCTGGGGTCCTTTGCAGATTTTGTGACTGAGAGCTCATTTTCAGAATGCACCGACTCCCGGTCCCAACCCCATCCCTAGGACCTGCAACCCCTGCACTTTGGAGAGATAGAGACAGATAAATCCATGGATCTATAGATGTGTATGTGTGTGTATAGGCATATCTATGTACCTACAGTTATATTCAGGTCCATAGATTTAGACCAATCACAATTCTTGACTTTGACACCCATCATCTTTCATCCACATCACTGAATTAGTCTATTTCATTTTATAACGAGCACCAGCAAATGCGCCTCTCAAACCAAGAACTGGAATACCACCACTAACACATCCTACCTGCTCCCCTCCCATCCTATCCGCCCTCCCTGACTTCTCTCAGAAGTAACCACTAGCTGAATTTTGTGTTTAGCATTCTCTTTGATTTGTCCCCCTTATTTTATCACATTTATGATCATTTGGCTTTCCTTTGAGCTTAACTTTTAAGAAAGGAATCTCGGGCTATGTGGTCTTCTGGGACTTGCTTTCCTTGACCGCACGTTCTATTTGTAAGATTCGTCCACGTGGTTCCGTGTAGCTGTGGTTCATTTCCATTGCAATATGATGCTCAATTGCCCACATGTAACACAGCTCATTTACCCGTTCTTTCTGCCACTGGACATTTGGGATGTCACCAGGTGTTGGCTAATTTGAACAATGTTCGTCTGAACATTCTCACAAACAGCCCCAGTGGTACGACAGCAAGAGCATCCATTGGGTATGTGTCGGGGAGAGGAACCATTGAGTGCTACAGCATGCAAGTGTTCAATTTTACAAGACATTGCCAATTTTTCTCCCCCAAGTGTCTGTTCCATTTACACTCCCACCGCCAGTGTATGAGAGGTCCTGTTATCCATCTTCCAACACTAGTGTTTGGTGCACCGGCCTTTATTCTGTTAGAAAGCCTACAATGGCTACGGAGGTGGAGACCCAGTTAGCTGAACATCCACTGATGAGGTAAGACCCCACGTGGGCGTCCCCGCTGCTGACCAAGGGGGTGGTGGGGGCAGGGCGGGGTGGGAGACGAAGATGGCGGAGGGGCACCCAACCGACGGAGAGGGCTCACCTTCTGCTGCCCTCAGCCAGGCCCCGGGTGGGTTCTCGGGCCGGAGTTAGCACAGGTCACAAACTGGGTCCCTGCCTGGAAGGAGAGGACATGGTGGCAGGGGGCAGAGGCGCCTAGTGCTAGAATCCCTGGGGCTTTTAAGGGGTGACATCCTCCGTCAGTTGGGGTAGGGGAGGCCAGGTAACTGCAGCTTTCAGAGAAGGTTTGCTTTATTTCTTTAAGTCCCAGATCCCTTAGAGGCCAATCGAGGACGGCACAGAAAACTCAGGGGCCTGGTCAGCGAAATCCTCAGAGGGTCCCGGGGCAGAGCACCTTGCTTAGCATATCCAGAGCCCATCTCTTCTCCAGAGGGCCTCCCTTCAGCCAGGGCCAGCGGGAGAAGGGAGTACAGACAGCGCGCAGGCAGGTGGTCCCCACAGGCCCCAGGCGGAGATCACCCCACCTTTGGATCCTTGCTAGACTGACCTCGAGCTCCTCCTCCAGAGGCAGGGCCCGGCATCCTCAGCAGAGGGCAGGGGTGCAGGGTGCAGGACAGACAACCCGAGAAGCTTATCTCCAGCGAAGCCGAGCGAGAGCTTGACGCGTCCCTGCAGCGCTGCTATTCCGAATGCAGCCCCATCAGCTCTGCGTCTCCCGGGAGGGGCCCCCACGGGAAAAGGCGCTGTCTGGGCTCGGTGCTCCAGCTTTGGCCTCTGGACGCTGAGTCTGGGCCAAGGCTGCCTGGGGGGCACGGGGGCCAGGGGGACCGCCTATAGCTGGCGTCTCCTGGGTTGCCAACAGTCAGCTTGGGGAGAGGCCCTTGCTGTGTCTGTCTGTGTATATAAGGTACCTTTGCTCCAACCCAGGTATTCGGATGAGTAGGTGGGTCGACGGCTTCTTTCTTCTGGCTTGAGGGGGGGTTTGTGGGAGAAGACTGAGGTCTTGGGAGATTCCATCTGAGTTCTCTCAAATAGATCCTAGCTCCCTGCTAAGGCATCTTAGGAAGACAGAAGGCTCCCTGGGACTGGATTGTACCAGTTGGGAGAGGACCCTGGCGGGGAGGCCCAGCTTTGGGTGCCATGGGGGTGGAAGTGAAATCCCGGAAACCGATTACAGAGTGTCTCGGGAATAGACTCCAGATAAGCACCGAGCTCTGAGCCGGGTGGGCATTGCTGCCGGGAGGTTCCATTAGCTTCTCCTTGACCTTCTCCTCCAGTCCAAGGGCTGAGCTGAAGCCTGAAAAGAAGTCAGAGCACAGGCCAAGGAGCCACGGGGACGGCAGGCCACAGAAAGAACTGATGATCCCAGGGATCGTGGATTTCCAGCTGATCCAAACGGCACCGAAGACCCCCAAGCCTCAAACCCCTGGTGCCTACCACTTTGGCCGCCTCAGCCACCACTCCTTCTTCTCCCGACACCACCCCCACCCACAACGCGTGACCCACATCCGAGGTAGGCCTGGGGTAGGTAGGGGCCCGGCTGGAGGTGGCGGGGCCGTCTTGAAAACTGGAAAGGGAGGAGCCAGCCCCTGTTTCCAAGCTGAGACCCAGGGAGGCTGAGGATTTGGTCAGGGTCAGAGAGCTGCTTGGCCACTTGCCATCACTTGGTCAAGCAAAGACTTGACCTGTGGCGCAGGCTCCAAGGCAGACTGTGTAGCCGTCGACAATTCCCCTCATTGCCGATCCTCCCATTTTACAAACCAGAGAAAGGGATGAATGTTCTACCCCAGAACTGCACTCTGTTCTCGAACTCAGGCCAATCCATCCACTTAGCCATCCGTCCATCAAGTATCTATTGAGTGTGAAGTCAGGCACTATTTTAGGCGCTGGGAATGTGACAGTGAGTAAGACAGTCCCTGACCTCATGGAGCTGACTCTGGTGGGAAAGGATAGGAAATAGGTAAGGTGTCAGAACGTAGGAAGAGCCAAGGCTCTAGAGGGGAGTAGACCTCATCAAGAGCATGGCATTTGAACAAAGAACTAAAGGAGAGAGGGCATGAACCATGTGGATATTGGGGGAAAGAATGTCCCAGGCAGAGGGAACAGCAAGTGCAAAGGCCCTGAGGCACGAATCCTGGCTCTGCTGGAGGATCAGCAAGGAAGCCAGTGTGGCTGGAGCAGAGTAAGGAGGGGTAGAAGGGAGATGCACCAGAGAGGTGGTGGGGGTCCTGATCACGTGGGCCTTGGAGGTCACCCCACTTGCCATTGAGCCATCTCACTGAGTCAACGGGAGCCATTGGAAGGTGAAGGCAAAGAAGTGACAGGAGTGATGTATTGGCCACTGTCTGGAGGGTGGCATGGACCAAGAAGGTAGCAGTGGAAGAGTGGCCCTGTTCTGGAGATACACGGAGGTGAAGCCAACAGGATTTGCAGAGTAGTTAAAAACGAGTAGGAAAGGCAGAGAGCAGCCAAGGCTGATTCCCAGGTGCTGGGCCTGAGTGACTAGAAAACCAGAATCACATTGGCTGTGAGGCGAAAAAGCCTGAAGCGAGGGCCAGCGCAGGGTGGGGGAGGGGTGGGGAATTTGGTGGGGACCTGGGAGATGCCAGACTCCACATACCTTTCAGGCTTGGGGGTAGAAGTGCAGAGTAGGCAGCCGGGCCGGGGGTTCAGGCGAGAGATGCCGATGTGGCCATTCGAGAAGGGACAGCGTTGGAAGTGGCGTGCCTGGATGGGCAAGCCAGGAGCCTGTGTAGATGCAGGAGAGCTCAGGGACCCCAAGGCCGAGGGGGGCAAGGAGCTGAAAAGGAAGGAGCAGCCTGCAAGTTAGGAGGCACCAGGAGAATGAGGGGACACCTGACCAAAAGAGGGGTGTTTCCGGAAGGACAGAGTGAGCCACCGTGCTAGACCCTAACCAGGCTGGTCCTCGAAGCTTCACGATGGACGGTAATACACGGTCACACAGACCGTAAACCAGAAG